GGGAGTGCCTTAACTCATTAACGATCCTCTACTCGCACGGCAGGTAGCAGCAGATCAGCATCCTGTACAACAACTGAAAACTGTTTGTCAGCCTCTTATATTTATTTTTCTAGTATATGTTCAGTAAATCCCTGTAAACTGAGGCAGTTTGTCAGTGTATCTTTGTAATCTCCAGAGATGTCAGGCGAGAGTCCGTCCGATACCTCACCATCTTCGCAGCCAGAGGCGCCAGCAGCAAGGAGGGTCGGCAGCCAGCAGTGTCATGGACACCAGTCAACCTACGCCTGTCATGTCCATTCAGCAGACACGCAAGGTGGGTAGCGAGCGCGAGAAGCGCAGGGGGTAGCGGAGGTGCAGACGCGCGAAGGCGAGGGAGAGCGACGGACATCCATATATCTGACATTTACTAGGATCTGCTACACCACATACAAAGTGATAGAAGCGTTGTAGGAGTTAATGTTTGCAGCCAACAAAGGGTTAAAGAGCAAATAGAGGGAAAAGATAAATGTTAAATACCTGCTTGCGCGGCCAAACACGGAAGCGAGCGAGCGAGCGACGAGCTATGGCAAAAGCACCAACAATGTTGCAGGTGCGACGGAGAGGGGTTGTTTTTCCCAGTAGTAGAATAGCACTCCAGCCACAGGTATTGTACACACCGTCTGCAGCTTTAGACAACAAACAACTCGCCTAGCAACCGCTGCGGCCTGACATTCATAACCATATCCAGCAGCCACACTACAATCACTGTACTCCAATACCACATTGTTTTGAGATGGGCCCTCCGATCCGTACTTTGTGGCGTTGGAATTTTGGCAAAGAGAATGATATATGCACTGATCCATGCATGTGTGTATGTACTTGTAGTGTAAGGTATGTGGGTGCATAACATATGGTCGTCTAGACAGTTGTCTGATTCTGTCTTGAAATCCCTACTCTCTGTGTGTGGTTGCTGAGTTGGTCACGTGACACTGGGAGTGGTCACGTGACCTGTGGGGGAATGGGAGGAACCTAGTTGTGGTGCAGAGAGTAGCCAGTTGGTGGTGAGAAGTTTTGTCTGGTTGTCTGGGTGGACTGCCAAATTCTGGCTTTCCAGCTCTCTCTCTCTGCTCCTTCTCTCTACTGACTGGATACAGTTGCCAGGGAGACTCTGTTTGATTGGTAGGAGAAGTGTTGCCTGGCAACAGAGTCAGGAGCTCCTGATTTAGGGAGGGCGGATGCAAACAGTATTCTGAGTGATATTTAGTAACAGAATTACATTTTTGGCAGCCGAAAATGACCATTTTTTTGCACATGTGCAGTATTTAGAATCAGGTACAACTTTAGACGTGTATGTATGTGCATGTGAATCACAAAGATGTGAGGTTCTTCTTCTGTCATTGATTACGTACCGTTACACAACTCTCCATCCTCCAGGACTTGGAATACCTCACAGCGTGTGGCCCGGTGGAGGTCATTCCTCAGTCGCTCCCTACACTCCAGTCACCCCTCAGACCCTCTCCGGACCATCTGACTTACACTCCGCCCCCGCCTACCGTGAGCCTGTCACATGATCCATCACATGACCTCTCATAGTATCTTTGAAGCACGAAATTTTGCAAACCTGCAGACTATGACTTTTTTGGAAGCGCTATGGTTTTTGCAGAAATGTTTAGTCTCAAAAACTGTTTACTGGTGATGTGATTTTGTACTTATCTGACTGATCATGTAGTTGGTCATGTGACTGATCATGTGATCCCTCCTCCCCCGGCAGCTGCCTTCTCTGGCTACCAGGTGCCGCACAGCATGGCTCCGCCCCCTCGCCCATCTCCCTCCTTCCCTCCACTCCCAAAACTACCCAGTACGTCCAACAGCATTACATCAATTCTAATTTTAACGACATCGTCTCTTTCCTCCAACAGCTCCTGATTTTTGGTGTACTATCGCATACTTTGAAATGGACACACAGGTAGAAATTAAGATTGTGTGTGTTTAACTGTTTGTTTGTGCATACATTATCTTGTATATATTTGTGTGGTGTTATTTTATGGGATCTCACCATATGTACATAATGAGTGTACGTAGTAGCTATAGTCTCGTGGAAAGTGTGGAAATTCAACTTTCCCAAAGTTTTATGCCCCATGCTGCATACTACTGTATGTGTGGCAGGTCTTGAACTCTGAACTCTGTAGTAGGCAGTGTAGTTTTAGACTGCGGTTCATATGTTTACTGCACCTTGACCCCTCGTCTGGACAAGACGATTAATAAACTTCACTAACGACGGAGATTCATGTTACAGTGCTGGACATATATGATGTATATATACGTAGTGGCTCCTGGAAATGAGGTGGTGTTGATTTTGCTGCAGGTCGGAGAGATATTCAAGGTCCCCTCCAGCCTTCCCTCGGTGACAGTGGACGGCTACGTCGACCCCTCCGGTGGCGACAGATTCTGTCTGGGCAGACTCTCCAACGTCCACCGGACCGAGGCCAGCGATCGCGCCAGACTCCACATCGGGAAAGGTACATACACAGCTACCCATACACACTGTGATTCTCTGTATGTACTGAGTAGTTTGTGACCAACAACAATTTGCTCAAATTTGCATTCTGGTTTCTGGTTTACTCTTGGATAATTCTCCCCCCCCCCACACACACACACCAGGTGTTATATTAGACGAGAAGAACGAGGGCGAGGTGTGGATAAAGTGCATGTCGGAGCACAGCATCTTTGTTCAGAGCAACTTCCTGGACTACCAATCAGGCAGGGCACCAGGGGACGCTGTTCACAAGATTTACCCCAAGGCCTTCATCAAGGTCAGTACTGTGCGGTGTGTTGTGTGTGTGTGCGGTACTGTAACTCTATCAGCTAGAAACCAATACCCACTCTCACAACAAAGCCTTTCAGGTAAAAGGATAACTTTGTATGTGTTAGAGCATTCAAATTTTGATCTCTCCCTCTCCCTCCCTCTCCCTCTCCCTGGTACAGGTGTTTGACCTCCACCAGTGCTACAGCGAGATGCAGAAACAGACTGCAGAGGCGTGCGCTGCAGTTGCCGCACAGACAGCTGCCGTCAGAGGTGAGAGGGTGGGACATAAAGGTTTTAATTACAAGTATGTACATGTAGATGGTTTGGTATAGTGTGATTGTCAGAATGACCTCATTCCTTTCTAGTTTGCTGTTCCTATATTCCTTGTCTCGCTGTTCCTATTCCTATCCCGCCTTATTTCGCTGTTCTATCTCGCTATCTGTACACCAAAAAACCTTCCCACCGTCTATACAATACAATGCTCCCCCCCCTCAACAGGAAACATGGCAGGTGGAAACATCAGAATAGAACCGAACATGGCAAAGGGGATCGGAGTGGACGATCTCCGTCGTCTCTGCATTCTCAGACTCAGTTTTGTGAAGGGGTGGGGTCCCGACTACCGCCGACAGAGCATCAAAGAGACGCCGTGTTGGGTTGAGATTACTCTACACAGAGCCCTCCAGCTACTGGACAATGTCCTTCACAATCTGCCCTCCGAGACTCAGCTCCAGGAGGTCGGCGAGGTGTGTGGGTGGGGCCAGGGGGCGGGGCTTGTTGATTACAATTCTTGGTTGGTTCAAAATCTGTTGGAATCTTGGTTTCGGCAGACTTATGCCTGGTTGTTGGGTGTGTTGTCACTGGCACTCTTAGGTTATGAATTTTCATTTTTATCCTCCTCACTTTCTCTCCCCCCCCTTTCCCTCTATTGTCTTATTTAGGTGAGTCAGTATCCATGACAGCCCAACCATTCTCTTATTAGAGCCCACCTCATCAGTTGCCCCACAACACGTCAAATCTGAAACCACGACTACAACAGCGAAAACATTTTATGAGTGTCCTAATTAATACACAATCTACTTACTACCATGCACTATTCATTAGCGTCAAAAGTGTAGGACTCTATGTTACCAGAACACGTGCATTTTCCTTTCTACAACTTTCGATGTGTCATTGTCTTCTTCGCTATATATGTCACTTGGAATTGCAAAACAATTTTGGCACAATGATTATAAGAACACGTCAGCTGTAAGTAATATAATGCAACGATGAGGTTACAAATGCAGTACTGTTCTATATAAAAAGGGAGGGGTGAATGGTCTACAGTTATGATATATTAATCCACACACTAATAATGGGGTAGCTATAAGAGGAAGCATTTTCGACGACCAATTTAATCTGGTGTCCTAATTTGCCGTAACAATAGCAACCGCACACGGTACATCATTAGTACGAAAGATCTCCTTTCCTCTTTCGCATGTTCAAAATAGCCTCGTGGGAGACTTGTCTCCGGTCGTAGACGAGTCCGAGGGCAGCAAACACATCCAGGAAACAAGTCGTCATGTTCAGCTTCGGGCCCCATTCCCCCGTCGAATAGTCATAGGGAAATGCATGGTGGTAGTTATGGAAACCCTCTCCGACGGCAGCGTAGCAGACAAAGGCGTTGTCAGCGGTTTTGGAGTGTCGATCGTAGGGACGGTCGCCCCAGAGATGGGCCGCACTGTTCACCAACCAGGTGCAGTGTAAGGACGTGATGTAGCGAAAACCGAAGAGAAAGAGGAAAGCAATGTGGCCCGGTTCATTCCAGAAATACCAGGGAACGAGACTCGGAATAAGGACGGAGAAAAGAATGGTGAGCGGGAGGTAGAAACGGGCCTGAAACGCGACGACGGGATCTTGTTTCAAGTCCTCGAGATCGATGTTTCGACCCTTGATGAGGACCTGGGGATGTTTCAACATCAGCAGCCAGCCCACGTGAGCAAAAAAGAACCCCCTGTTTGCGTTGTGCGGGTCCGCGTCCGTCTCCGTATACTTGTGGTGGAGGCGGTGGTCACGTGACCACACTAGGACGGAGTTTTGCATGGCGAGACAGTCGAAACACATCAGTACAATCTTCAGCGGTAGCTTGGCCTTGTAACTGCGATGGGTCCAGAGTCTATGGGCGCCGGCCGTTACCCCAAACCCGCTACCGAGTCCCAGAATAACGTACCAGACGAAAGACTGCCATTTGGCGCCCGTACCAACGTACGCGCCCCACAACCACAGCACGTGGAGAACGACCATTAGGTATACGTTCAGCCAAACAACTTGCGTCTTTAGTCCGAACGGGCCGGGGATACTGTTGTGTCGAATGCGCGACTGTAGTTTCGGGTCCAAGTCTCGTATCTCTTCGTCTGTGAAATAGACACCCTTCTTGCCGTGTACGGCTTCGACTCCCGCCGGCCGGGGAACGGTAGCGTCTTTAGTCATGGCTGCTCAGAAATCTTCGAACAAAAACTACCTTCAATGGATGACGGTTTTAGCTATTGTGCAAGAGCCAAAGAGATCAGGTGACTCGGATGGCCCGTCATCATCGATTGCATGCATCGTGCGTGCGCGTGTCGTGGGGTCATCATGTCAGCAGACTTGTTGAGAGTGTATTCACGACCTTGCACGTGCTGTAAAAAAGATTGATGAGTAGAGCTAGCTAAAAAAGTATATACGAGAATGCATGCGGGAGTAGATAATGAGGAGGGCGGTACTATTCGCCTGTATAAATGTATGGGAAAAGTATGCCGTAGAAATGTATGGGATTATGCATAACGTGCGTAGCGAAAAAAACGCAGTGAATTTGAACGGGGTTTGCGCTGAAGGAACCGGAGTGTGAAGCGCTACATTTTGATACCAAGCATAGCCGCATACGGCGCTGGAATCGGAAGTTATTCTAGATTCAGCGCGAAAACACGTGTGTAGCCATAATAGTGCGCATGCGCGGAAGAAGCGGAGCCGTGACCTTTGACCTCAAGCTAAACACAATGCAGCGAGAAGAAACAGCGTCGGATTCGAGTCGACTTGAGGTCTACCCTCCAGTCCACCGGCTGGGAGTCGTGGGGAGGTGGGTACGAGCCAGACTACAGACGGAGATCCTTCGCGGTACTCCGGTGCTGGTCCGTATCCAGGGTCTCCGGTCTCCGTGGAGAAACGCGGTCATGCAGGCCAGCAGCTTTCTCGGGGAAGAAGAGTTCTACATGCTCCTGGTGGCTCTGGTGGTGTGGATTGTCGACGCCAAGCTCGGGAGGTTGGGAGTAGCATATGGAGTAATATCCGGAGCGTGTAATATTAGTGTACGGAGTGCAGTGTAGTATGCGGAGGTTGTATTTGAGATTTTACTGATTGCAGGTTGATGGTACAGCTGATGGGGATCTGTTTCTATGTCACTGGGTTTCTAAAGAACACACTGTGTCTGCCACGCCCCCCGTCGCCCCCGGTAACGCCGCTCCAGCGATGCCAGGACTGGGGTCTGCCGAGTCACCATGCCGTTCTGAACACCAACATTCCCTGGTTCCTATGGTTCTACCTCGACCATCACTTCTCCCTCTCCCTCCCGACAAAAATCTCCGTCTTTGTCGGAATAGGCCTGTGGTCTGTTAGCGTGATGTTTAGCAGAATGTACCTCGGCGTGCATAGTCCAGCCGACATTCTGACTGGGGGCGTGGTCGGCTGTATTCTCCTGGCGGGGTGGCTCCGGGCCTACGAGAGAGTGGATGATTACCTCTCCAGTTCTCCCTCTCTCCTCTCTCTCCTCGGGATCGTCTGTATCGTCGTTCTGCTGCTTAGCCTACACCCGGATCCTTACCCCGTCACCATAGTGTTTGCCGAGACTGTTTGCATGACGGGTGTTGCCGTGGGTTTTGTTGTTGGACAGGTCCTACTGACTCCGCCCACCGGGGGGCGTGGTCTACTGGAAGAGGCGGGGCAGTATAGCAGCCTGTTGACTGCCGTTTGGTGTGGTCTTTTGAGATTCCTTGTTGGGTTGGTTGCCTTGGTGATGTTGAAAGCATTAGCCGAAAGAGGAGCAAAGATTTTACTTCAAGCAGTGGCCCACGTTGCTGGGGTAACAACGGTGTGCATTAAAAGGAAATCCGAAGTGAGTAGTGAAAGAGTTCATTACTCGGCCAAGTTCGTGGCATTGAATGAGAGCAAGACTGGATCGGAATGGAACCAGAATAAGCTGACATGGGTCTGGGACAGGGGACCTATTAATCTCGACATTCCAGTCAAATTCACTTCCTACACATGCATGGGAGTGGTTGCCGTGGCAATATGCCCCGCCTTGTTTTCATTAATCAACATTTAGTGTGTGAACAAAAAAATCAATTATAATTCTGCTTGTACAACTGGCAAATGAATGACCTAATGCATAATTTAAAAACACACAATATAATTATTATCATAACGGGGGGCCTGGACTATGGGAGCGAGGGGATGTCTATGTCTGGTATGGTGTCACGTAGTTTGCTGGGAACATTCCCGTCGTGCCGTCCAGGAGCTGTCCACACCACCACACATCATCTTCCTTGGTGATGATGGTCACTATGGCGCCTTCTTCTATACTCATCTCCTGGGAGCCTTGGGCCTCATATGAGTACAGCGCCACCACCTTGAGTAGTGAGGGGTGGGGTGGGGGGGATGGAATTTGATCAACCAAAAGTTGAATGGGGATTAGACTGCTAAAGTTAACACGCCCCCTAATCCTCATAACACAGGGATTAAAAGAGAAAAGAATCAAGGAAAAGTTACAGCAATATTCATGTGTCTGTACTACGACATGTGTACAGCATGTCTGTACTACGACATGTGTACAGCATGTCTGTACTACGACATGTACAGCATGCTGTATAATACCTGCTCCATGGTGGATTTGGGCGTGGCGTAGTAGCTCTCGTCAAACCCCGCCCCTCCACTGGCTGCCGTGGCGACGGTGTTTACCTTGACCTGGTCGGGGATGCTGGAGTACACACCTATATAATATGAGAAGACGGCGGCACACTCACTGACATCAACCACCAGTGCCATGCAATAGGTGCTCAAAAACATATGGGGAAATACATTCTTGGTGTTTATATACAAAGGATTACGTCATGCTTGTGGTTTAGGTGTAGAGAAGAAACTGACTTTATTTCTCGTACAGCATGTCCCCAGGCTAAATTAATTTCACACACCACTGGCTCCAATATAAATCTGGGGTAGTATATAGCTCTCGTCAAACCCCGCCCCTCCACTGGCATAATCAAGTAATCAACTAATCAACTAACCGTCTTCAATGGGTTCGGCAGGCTCAGAGGAACTTGCCGGTGGTAAGGGAGGGAGGGCTTTATTTGGAGCTTCCCCCTTCCCTCCCTTTGCCACTGGTGGTGTCGGGGGCTCGCTCTGGTTCGGGTGATAGAAATTGATGTAACGAAGAGGGGCAGGTCGCTCGCTCCCCGTTTTTCTCTCGCTGACAAACAGGTCGATGTCATTGTCTACATTGCACTCTTCCAGAACTTTCCGCACGTTCTCAAATGACTATATAGAGAGAGGGAGGGGTGAAAACGAGGGACAAAGAGAAAGGAGTGGGTGAGAGGAGGTGATGTAATAATGATGTCATGGTCACCTGGTCCTCGTAGACGGTCGTCTGAGAACAGAGGTTGCAAAGGGTCCACATCTGGTGACGGAGGTATGCAATCCTCAGCTCCTCCAACTCCTGGAATTGCTGGACACACACAATCACCGTCAATAATTGAGGTAAAGTATATTGGGCATTCGGCGACACTCATGCACTCATAATATGGTGTTTACCTTATCACTTATCATTTAAGAGCCATTGGCGTTTACTAAATCTTTTAAGCACTCCTTTCGAGTTTACTAAGTGCCCATAAAATCCAAGGTAAAACTGGTAAGTTGCCGTGGTGACATTAGTTGTAACCATGGCAACGGTTGTTGTGGAGACCCTCACCCGGCAGAGAAGCTCCATCTCTCTCTCCCAGAGGGCCCGGCTCTCCTCTAGACTCTTGACAGACTCCTGGTACAGCTGGTCCGCGTTCTTGGACGCCGCCCGTGCCTTCTCAGAGTTCTTCTGTGCCTGGGGGAGAGAGGGGGTTAACGGAATGTAGCAGTGAATAATTAGATCAAACTAAACAAAACCTGTGTGAGAGATATTTTCAGTACATTCGTGCTACATTTCAAATAGGGCCCAGTGAAAGAATACTTCTGTTTTTAGTCTTAACTTTAGCCCTTATACTATTGTGACTCGCATGGGCGGATCAAAGGAGCTATACTATATATATTATACTGCCACATTCCCTGTAACTAAACGATGCCAGGGCTGCTGCAAGATACACAAAACCTTTGCTATTTCCTGCTGTTTGGCATTCCCCAGACTCTGGACTTTATTGAACGACTCTTCTGCCTTGTCTGTCTCCTTACATCTCGTCTCGTACGTGGCCCGGGCCTGGAATGGGGACACGACGACATGGGGGAATGACGGTATGGGAATGGGACACGCTCACTCTGTTGGTGGAATGATAGCAGGTTCTCTTGTGTCCGGCCGCTCGTTTCACCGTGTCCTCGCTCTTCTTCCTCGTGTCACGCTGCTGTTCCTGCAGTCGTGAATATCATTAGAGCTCATGCTTGAAATACACACAATCAATTAGTACACACACTATTAGCACAGTGCATGCCGCGGTTACTCATTATGACTATGTTGAAAATATACCATTAAACCTTCCCCACCATAGGCACCAAGTGTTCATTTCATTTTCCTTTCTTCTTACATCCACTCAGTATTGATATACTTCCATTATCCACTCGATACACTTCTAGCCTGCCACAGTATTCTTATACCATAATAATAGGTATGCTAGATCATTTGGCTAAGAGTTGTTCTGTACCTTGAACTCCCGAACTGCCTTCAAAATGTCGTCTGTGATTTTCTGAGACAGACTCAGGTGGAGTCGACCCACTGCATCAGTCTCTGTGGGACAAGACAATGACAACCTGTTTAACCGGTTTGTTGACCTCTAGGGCTGTTGAGGCACTTGTAGAAACTGGTTTTACAGTGGAACCTGGAAGACCTTCTCTATAAATTAAACTTGGTTCTGCCCCATACTAATACATTAGTGTACTATATAGGGACACTCTCTATAAAGGACACTTGGTTCTGCCCCATACTAATACATAGGGACACCTCTCTATAAAGGACACTTGGTTCTGCCCCATACTAATACATAGGGACACCTCTCTATAAAGGACACTTGGTTCTGCCCCATACTAATACATAGGGACAACTCTCTATAAAGGACACTTGGTTCTGCCCATACTAATACATAGGGACACCTCTCTATAAAGGACACTTGGTTCTGCCCATACTAATACATAGGGACACCTCTCTATAAAGGACACTTGGTTCTGCCCCATACTAATACATAGGGACACCTCTCTATAAAGGACACTTGGTTCTGCCCCATACTAATACATAGGGACACCTCTCTATAAAGGACACTTGGTTCTGCCCCATACTAATACATAGGGACACCTCTCTATAAAGGACACTTGGTTCTGCCCCATACTAATACATAGGGACACCTCTCTATAAAGGACACTTGGTTCTGCCCATACTAATACATAGGGACACCTCTCTATAAAGGACACTTGGTTCTGCCCCATACTAATACATAGGGACACCTCTCTATAAAGGACACTTGGTTCTGCCCCATACTAATACATAGGGACACCTCTCTATAAAGGACACTTGGTTCTGCCCCATACTAATACATAGGGACACCTCTCTATAAAGGACACTTGGTTCTGCCCCATACTAATACATAGGGACACCTCTCTATAAAGGACACTTGGTTCTGCCCCATACTAATACATAGGGACACCTCTCTATAAAGGACACTTGGTTCTGCCCCATACTAATACATAGGGGACACCTCTCTATAAAGGACACTTGGTTCTGCCCCATACTAATACATAGGGACACCTCTCTATAAAGGACACCTGGTTCTGCCCCATACTAATACATAGGGACACCTCTCTATAAAGGACACTTGGTTCTGCCCCATACTAATACATAGGGACACCTCTCTATAAAGGACACTTGGTTCTGCCCCATACTAATACATAGGGACACCTCTCTATAAAGGACACTTGGTTCTGCCCCATACTAATACATAGGGACACTCTCTATAAAGGGACACTTGGTTCTGCCCCATACTAATACATAGGGACACCTCTCTATAAAGGACACCTGGTTCTGCCCCATACTAATACACAGGGACACCTCTCTATAAAGGACACTTGGTTCTGCCCCATACTAATACATTAGTGTACTAATTACACCTCATTATAAAGGGACATCTCTGAAAAACGGACACTTTCAATGTCCCTAAAAAGTTCCTTATTCAGAGGTTTTACCTGATTTTAGTTGGTCCCATGACTTTCGCAGTGTTCTGGATGAGTTAGGGAGAATCATGAAATTTACCATTTTTGAGAGAGAGAGAGAGAGAGTTACCCTAGCTCTTCTTTTCCTGCAGCTTTATCAGCCAACCGAACGAGATTGTCACCATATTCTTTCTCTATCCTAGCCCTGAGAGAGAGGCAGTGAGAGAGGGAGGAAGAATGAGTAGAGAAGGAAGGCGAGGGTTTAAGCAGTTTTCCACAGCCTTGAAAAGTGTGAAAGAGATACAAGCGGCTGCTGGTACCGGCTGTGGAAGGTGGCAAAGCAAGCAACGCAGCGGCCATTTTCTCCACCCACCCTTTACCCCTGTCGTGCCTCAAGCAAGGGCTAGTACAAACACAGACTATCACTATTACTTTCATTGTCTCACTCTCTCCATATTTACAATACATCTTTGAATTATAAGTACAGTGCAACCTCTTCTAATGAAGATACCAATGTGCGATTGTACCCTATATATGCATGTTGTTATTGTAGCCCTATGTATCTATGATAACTACCCCGTGGGTGTGCATACATACCTACAATAACTGTATATAGCCCAGTATGTACATCTACATACGCAGGTCTCCACTGCAGATATTGAAAGTAGAGTCTAAAGAAAACACTTGAGCTGGCAGCTAACACTGTTTTGACATGGGGGAAGATGGTCCATCTAAAACCACGTCTAAAAGCACTCTGTCGAAGAAAAGCCGTCCTAGGAGTTCAACCGTAGTTAACGGTTACTTGGACAAACAAGATTGCAGACATTTGCCACATAACACCAAGGCAATACTAACAGCCAGAGCAGTCTCCCTAAACTTTCTGTGACGATTTACGCCAAGGAAACCACACTTGAACTCTGTCATCACTGAAAGTACTACAAGTCTTTCCTACTGTCACATAAACCAGTAGGAACTACAGTGGGACCTCTCTCTAAGGACACCTCTCTAATAAGGGCACCTTTTCCTTCCCCCAAGAACAGTTCTTGCATGAAATTTAACCCCTGGAATAAGGACATCTCACTAATATGGACAATTTTTTCTATCCCATTGGTGTCTGGATTAGGGGGGTTTCCACTGCATCGTTGACATGACAGTCACTCACACACCTTTTTTCAAGAAAATCTTCAAGGTCATGGCACATTTTCTTGCCTTCTTTCAGTCTCTTAATCAGAGTGTCATAGCCAGCTGTGGAGCAGAACTCACTGCCCTGGAGGGATCAGAGAGGGGGGGGGAGGGGGGTAATTAAAGCCAGAAGGCCGAATATTGACAAGCCAACTGCCTTCAGAGCTATTTAAAGCCAGAAGGCCGAATATTGACAAGCCAACTGCCTTCAGAGCTATTTTTGGCACTGGAGGGCAGAAAGCTGTTTGCCCGCGGTTGCCGGTAAGTGGCCAAATGGCTTAGCTAAACACCAACTTCTACTGGTATGTATGTATGTATGTATGTATGTATGTACACTTACTCAAAAACCAACATCAAGCACAATGAACGACAGGCAAGGCTCGGGGATCGCGACAGGCGAGGGCAAGAAACGTCTCGCATGGCCTGACGAAGGGTGCAAGCTGGAGCTTCCGCTTGAGCCAGAATTACTCCGTACCTCCATTATGCATCATGCAGACAACACCGCGGCTAGCTCGCTATGAGGACAACTCACCCAGAAATTCTGTGAGTATTTCGCCATATTGGATTCCTCCCCTCTCTCCAACAGACGGCGATCGACCTCGTGAATATCGACAGTACTGTACCTTAGAGGCTAGCTAGCTAGCTACACATCCACTAACAAAACACGAAAGTATGAGAAGTACTCCAATTATGTCACACCTTCATCACGTGCATGTTTGGTGGCGTCACTAGGTACACTGCGCATGCGCGTTTCCACTCAGTGCTTGATCGAAATCGGGGAAAATGGGGGAGAGAGAAAACGGTTCACATGTGGATTAGCTAGTCATTATGGCCAGTCATTGCATCCTGTACACTGGTTGGCAGTTTCTTGTACGCACCTCTGCTACGAAACCGCTTTCTAGCTCTTGGAGATGAGGCCTTTCCCTGCCCCTCCCTCTCCTCCTCCCCCTCCCCCTCCAACATAGCTCATTATCTGCAGAGTGAGGGGAAGGAAGGAAATACGCAAAGGGCAAGGAAGAGAAAGTGTGAATATGTTCAGATTAACATGCCAAACCTTCTGCCTGTTGGAGTATCCTACGTACGCTACCACGGCAACCACCACTACACCAATCAGCACTGCAATCATTCCTCCAAATGGCACGAGACGTCGTTTCGGAATCTTCTTCCTCTGTTGGTATGATAATTAGTTACACTGAAAGACTCAATCCTTATTCAGAGGCCATGCAGTTAAAACTATGAAACCTTTTAAGGCCATGAAAGCTGTCTCATATTAAGAGGAATCATTTAGTGAGGTGTCCTTATTTCAGGGGATAACTAAGAACTGTTCTTGGGGAAAGAAAAGGTGTCCTTATTAGAGAGGTGTCCTCATTTCAGGGGTCTCCTTAGAAACGGGTTCCACGGTAACTTCCATCCCCTCTCTCAACTCCACCTGGTGTAAGGGGTGACAGTCACGTCCTTCTTTTCAGCTGGCAGGACGACAGTTGTAACTTTGAAACTCTCTGAAATCGCCACAAGTTCCTTCATTTCTCCTTTCACAGTAAAACTGATGGTGACGTTAACCGCGTCTTTTTTATCACTACCCTTGTAAACGATACTTCAACTTTTCCACCATCTACCCAGGCACCATCAGCTGTGAAAAATGGTGAATAATTCAGAATTTTAAATACAGTAAAACCTCTGAATAAAGAGACACCTTTTTAAAAGGCATCCTTATTTGGAGATAAGTAACAGCTAATGCATTAGTGTGGGGAAAACAAAGTGCCATTTGTAGAGATATTATTTTTTCTTACCATCGAGTGTAATAACGTCATCTGGAATACACTTCAAATCAACAAGTTTATTCAGTTTAAAATCGTCATTGCCCTTGAGATCACGGGAAGATTTGATGACTACTACCTTATCGCCAACGGCGTACTTTTTCGCTTCAAACGACAGTTCCGTACCTGTAAAGAATTGAAACTCACATTTACAATTTTGAATCTCAGACACTTTGGAGATACAAATACAGTGTCCTTATTTGGAGATACAAATACAGTGTCCTTATTTGGAGATACAAATACAGTGTCCTTATTTGGAGATACAAATACAGTGTCCTTATTTAGGAGATACAAATACAGTGTCCTTACAAATACAGTGTCCTTATTTAGGAGATACAAATACAGTGTCCTTATTTGGAGATACAAATACAGTGTCCTTATTTAGGAGGTGTACAGTGGAACCTCAGAACAGAGGAAACTTTGGGGCCAATGAATTTCCACTGATAACCCAGTCTCCATCAGAAAGCTGGTTAAAAAACTCACCAATAGTGATGGTAGTAGTGCTAGGTGTGTCAACGGAGAAAGTGGGCGGAGCTACATCGCTCTTCTTCATTGATAGAATGAAATTTGCTAAACCATAGTTATGGAGGTTGAGGGAGAGTGCCCAGTCCACAGATGACGTCTTTCTAAGGCCTGCAGAAACAGTTATGCAATCTCTCTACCACAGACACCAACAGGATAGAGGAAAATGTCTATATTAGAGAGGTGTCCTCATTTCAGGGGTGTCCTTAGAGAGGTGTTCCACTGTAGTTTATAACTCACTATAATCTTCGCTGGACAGTTCTGAGTCAGGCGAAGTAATAATTACGTAATCGTCTAGTTTCAGAGATCTCGAGGTGTCGATGGAAACATCCAGTTCAGTCGTATCGTTCCAAATGGAATAATTGGAGGTGAAACTTGCAACAGCATCTAGAGAATGATTGAGTATAGGATTCTAATTTATAGTGAGGATGTTGAGGATCCTAGAGCCTCTGAGTAAGAGACAACTGAGGGGACGTTGAAATTGTCCTTTGTTCAGAAGATTTCCCTTATTACGTAAGAGGACCACTTACACTAATGTATCGGTACGGTGCAGAAACAAGTGTCCTTTATAGAGAGGTGTCCTTTAATATAAGGATTGACTGCTTGCAACGGACACATGGTGTGTGTGTTTGTGTGCATATGAAAAATCTCATTATGGACTACACGTAACTCACCAAATGAAAGTATCAGCAGTGCCCCTTCATTCCCGCCTTTCACCGTGGCAACAAACGGCGGCGTCATAGCGGAGAGTGTCATCCAGTAACTCTCCGTCATATCAGTTACTGCCTCGAATCTTGTTTTTATGAAATCGGAAATGTCTGCCCCTGAGCCACCATCTCCTGCCAGTCCATCAATTGTGCACAATGTTGTGTGTGAGGGGTCTGCGTGGAAATAATTGAGGGTTAAAGTAATTCATTGTTATATTACTATTTTCAAGCCTCTAGAGCAGGCAAATTTAATAAAACTGATCTAATCTGGACACAGTCCATGTTAGTGAGGTGTCGTTATTTCAGGGGTTAAATTACACGCAGGACATGTTCTTGGGGAAAGAAAAGGTGTCCTCATTTCAGGGTTTCCTTAGAGAGGGGTTATATATAGTGTACCAAACCAGCAGGTTACTCAACTATTTGAGGCCATTTGAAACACAAAGTATGTATTGTACTTACAGTACGTACCGTTTGTATTCATAGAAATATTAAATCGAGTAGGCAAAGGTTTAGACATGCTGATTGGAATGGTAGAAAGTGAGGGGACGCCTTCCAGCGAAATATTTACATCATACGGTCGATTATCCATCCATATCTCAACGGAATATTCTAGAATATCACACAGACAGAGGAGAGAAGTCGATGGGACAGAGACACATTACAATACACCAGTATAGGGAAGAACCAGGTGTCCTTGATAGAGAGGTGTCCTTCATATTATAGAGGGTCATTTATAGAGAGGTGTCCTTCATATAGAGGGTCCTTTATAGAGAGGTGTCCTTCATATTATAGAGGGTCATTTATAGAGAGGTGTCCTTCATAATTATAGAGGGTCCTTTTTCAAACAATAAGTGTCATACTGTGTATTTCCTCAGGAGTAAGTGTCCATTGGACGTTCAAAGTCGAGTTGGTAATCTGAGCTCCGCAGCTGTCGTTAGGGGCAACAAGTTTTCCTTCATATGACCCAATCTCCAGGGAAACCCCTGTATTCTGCTGCAATAAGTCGACTGTGTAGATGTCCATCTTATTATCCGGTATGGTGAAATTTGTACATATTTCCTTCTCAATTGCTGTATGTAGCAGAGAGAATCATGTGACAATCATGTGACATTATTATGAAACCTCTCAAATCAAATACCTAATTACTAAGAGAACTTACGGTGCAGACATAAAGTCACATTAATTTCACATTCCCTGTAGCCAACTTGGAAACTGAGCAGCTGCATTCCACTGGTAAAAAATAGGTCCTGCTGAACCAGTTTTAGGCTGGCCTCTGCAATGAGGGAGAGGGAGAGAGAGAGAGAGAGAGTGAGAGAGAGTGCAAAGATGAAGGGTAGGAAAGGGAGATGGGTTTGTCACTTACTGTTTTCATTGATGACCTTCACAACAATACAACGATTACTGACGTTGGCTCGAGTCTCATTACTCTCAGATGGCAGTACAGTCAAACACAAGGTGTATATCTTGCTCACACCGCTTACACCCGTGTCCTTAGCTTCCACTTTCACTTTCACTGACTCTGTGTCTTTAGTGCTGAAGACAAGTGTCGTCGTTTTGATTTCAAAAAGCCCATCCTCTTCCACTTCTGCACGATAGAGAAAAAAGAGTATTTTCACCCAAAAATATTTTTTGTGTGTTTGTGCAAAACCCTAAAAGCATGCAGTTACCACATAACTATCGTCAAAAATAAAAGTTTCGGGAAGCAATTTTTGATGCCCCTGAAAAATTTTTCCTGAACACCCTATAAAAGTGTCCAAATGTAATTTTTTTACTGTCCTGAAAAAATCGGACACACAGGCAGACAGATGTGAATAGTTTCTCCCCCACTCACCTGAGGTATCATCTGCACTGACATCCAGTGTCACATTTACCGAAAACTCCCTCACAAACTGTCCGAACAGCTGAACTGGAATCTTCAAATTGTTACACAAACTATTCATTGAGCAGTTCACCGCAGGTTTTGTGAATCCAACTCGCGGAATAGCTGCAGAAAAAACAATACACAGTGACATTCATTATTGGAAATTCATCTCTCCCTCCCTCTCTCTTTCCCTCCCTCTCTCTCTCCCTCCCTCCCTCTCTCCCTCCTCCTTCTCTCTCTCTCTCTTAGAAGCCAATACAACCCACCTTTACAATCAGGGAGGTCATCCCATATTGTGTCATTGATACAGTGCAGTCGACTCGCCTCAGCCGGGACCAGAAGATAGCCAGGGTTACACACCACATCTACAACCAAAGGGCCGTCATTCGGATCCTTCGATACCTTGGGCGTCGTCTTCATGGTCCGCGGAACCTCCTCGTTGAAACTGTCGCAAGGACCGGTAACTATAGGGATGGGAGGGAAGGGGCGTCGTGACTGAGATATACACTAGCTACACCATATGGAGCATTCACGGTCTTACCGTCATTCCCGCTGTTCGCAAAGGCGGCGTAGAAAACGAGGACCAGCAGCCCAAAACTCTGTACTGGTCGGCGCATCTTCTCCCTCTCTACCACTGCGGGCGGTGCTTACGTATGTGGGCGAAACGTCAAGGTCGAAGTTTAATAAATTTTATATCAGCGTGCGAACGTTTTGTATACGCATGCGCATAATGGAGGTGATCAGGTAGTAGTTTGCCAGTCCAGCGCCTTTACAAACTCTTCTTCGGTGAATGAGAGAAGTTTAGCTGCCTCAATGTGCATCTGAGGGAGGGATAGATAACAAATAGTATATACCTGAAAATGACCCTCTGAACAACTAGGTGTAAAGCTAAAACCATTAGGGTAGGGATGCAAGATAATGTGTCCCTTAAAATTGCAGTTTCCCTGTTTTGAAGAGATAGACAAGAGCAGAAAGGAAGAGAGAGGAGAAAGTAGAAGAAAATGGAAGTGGGAAAGCAATACTTTCTGTCTCTTGAGAATGTCGATAAGTCGCAGCTGTTTCTTGAAGGCTGTCATCAGCTCATTCCTCTGTCTTAGCAGCTGCTTGTTCTCTGATGTCAACTCCTCGACCTTCGACCTCTCCGCCCGACTCGAATCCTAGTCTCCCCCCGGAAACAACTACATAAACAAGCCACGCCCACTGGAGCCAACAAGCCACGCCCACCTGGGACCGAGCACGGAGACTGGCAAGCTCAGTCTTCTGCCTCTCTACATCCTCCAGGGCACGGTTCAGCCGGACCTCAATGGCTCCTTGCTGACTCCGTGCCTTCTTCTCTCCTCCTTTCATTACATCTATCTCCTGTGGGGCAATATTGGGACAGCCCAATCCATGGATTGGACAATGTTTCATAAGATATAATAGGCTGTGTGGACAGATAGTGTGTCCCATCATGGGTCATCCAATCCTGCAAATGGACAACCTGGACATTGCCCCACATACACGAACCTTCCTGAGAGTGGCCAACTGAGTTTCAAGTCCGCCACATTTCTGTCTCAGAGCGTCAGCAACTGACCTCTGCTTCTCCAGCTCCGGCTGAAACAAGAGAGAATCGACCAATCAAATTAGAAATGGTTGCTATGGTGACCAGAGAGACCTGCAGCGTGCGTTGTGTGCGCAGCAGTTTGTTGTTTTCCTCGGAAAGTGACTTCGCAGCAGTTTCTTTTTCAGCCAGTCGCTTATCCTGAGGGGGCGTGTACAATTTTCAAAATTTTTTGCTGAAACATGAAGAAACGAGATGTGAGGCAGGTTACCTTGGCAGTTAGCTCCTGACAAAGACGGTCAATTTCCTCCTGCATCACTCTTAGCTTTGCCTTCAGAAACCTCGTCAATGCCTCTGGTAAAGAAAACCTTACTATTTGTCCATTTTTGGTTAACAATAATTGATGCAAGTCTGTGTGTTGGGTGTCAATATGCGGCACAGAATTACAACAAGAATGACAACATGAACCTCTTCATGGAACCTTGCTTTTAGACAAATCTAGCGTATATCTTGTGTCGATATTGCGAATCCGCCATTTTGACACATCATACTTATGTATATACCTGGTCCCATATCATCAGCTGCCTCAGGGACAACATCGATTCCCCCGTTTCCTGCGTCCCGATTCCATTCCACTCCATCCAGCTCTCGTTCCATTCTGAGGACGACATTGTTGAGATCGGCCGCAGTTCCAGAGTCTGTCGTCACGGCAACCTCCGATGGTAAACTTTTAGCCGTCTTCTTTGGTTTAGTTGTTTTCTTCTTTGCCACAGCCATTGGTTTGTTGGTGTCAGTAGTGTGAGTAGGGAGAGAGGGAGGAGAGGTGGAGGGAGGGGGAGGGGGAGAGGAAGGGAGAGAGAACGACGATGCATGGTCCGCAGCAGTAGAAGACCTGCAGAAACAAGGATACATTTTGTCTCTCTAATTAAGGAGTTTCTTGGGACAAAATGCACGGCTAGAGTTTCTTTTTTTCAGGAATATATCCCTTTAAGGCCAACTCTAGATTTTGAAAAACAGTTACCTATCCAAAACCTTTGAGGCCGAAACATTGTGCACTGTTTATTGAATCTTCATAGTTTCGCTGACCTGACTGGACTAGTTGAGTGCTCAACTGAGCTCTCCAGGTCACACAGCAGAGACATGTTACCCTTCTGGAGGAGAAGTCACGTGACTAAACCACCCCTTAACGTGAGAGTCACGTGACTCACCACCAGGTGCTCGGCTTCCTTTACTAGTTCAGCAGTCTTTGCCTCAAGTTCAGCGTTCATTCTCCTGAGGGAGGAAGACGGAGCATGGCGGGACACTCTAAAATGGAGGTCCACACCTGTATTCCTCCTCCTTCGCCCGCAGAGACTTGCTAGAACCCGAGGCTGCTCTCCTTCCATTTCCGGACATCTTCGAACGGTTCCGGACACCCTTTTCTTTGGTGGCCGGTGGTGGAGCCGTCCGAGGCGGTGGAGCTGCTCCAGCTTTGCTCATCTCTCTGCCAGTTCTCCAGCAACTAGACAGCCGCAGCAGACAGACAGGCAACACTCTCCCAGCTTCTTTTTCTCTCTTGTAGCTAGTAGGCGGGGCTCGTGCAAGTGTTCCTAATTAGAGCCCACCTTAAGTCGCGCTATAAAGGGACCCTCTATTGCTCTAGATTGTCGCGGGTTCAGCTAGCTCAGGATGAAGGTTAGGGTCTCTTTCTCCGTGTCTCTAGCAGGGACACCTGCAAGAAGGAAGTATGGGAGAATATTGTGACTCTGTTTCTTGCACACAGGTTGTGGTGGAGGGCTGTTGTCATGGAGAACTGGACCAGATCTACGATGTGATTGGTCAGCTGCAGGAGCGAGAAGGAGTGACCGTTGACCTCCTCATCTGCTGCGGGGATTTCCAGGTTATTCTGCTTTTCCCAGCCATGACAACTCCCTCTTCCTTTTCTTACTTCTTTCAACTCATTGGGTCATGCAATACAGTAAGACACCATTTTTATTGAGTGGTGCAAAAAACACAATACGAAATAGAACTCACACAACTGCGAAATTTTTATCCCTCAAAAACATTTTTTCCTTCCCCAGGCAGTCCGAGATAGAACTGACCTGGACTCAATGGCAGTTCCTCTGAAGTATAGAGAAATGGGCTCTTTCTACAAGGCACGTGTATTTTTTAACACCTCTCTAAAACTTTTAGCTGCCCGGCGAATTTTAGTATTACAGCGGAGAAAAGACGGCTCCAGTGCTAACGATATTCATAGGTGGAAATCACGAAGCATCTAATCATCTGTGGGAATTGTGAGTGACGTCATAAATTACTGGAACGGTGTCATACGTTAATTTTAACCCTGTAGGAGCTACGGGGGGTGGGTAGCTCCGAGGATATTCTACCTGGGCCGGGCTGGAGTGGTGAGATGTGGTGGCCTCAGAATAGCTGGACTGTCTGGGATCTACAAGGAAGGCGACTACAGAAAAGGTGTACTATTCTGGAGCCAATTATCGTACATTTAGTAAGATAGCCTAAACCTTCTGTACTTTTAGTGATATATGAGGGTGAGTACAGGCCAACAAAAAACCCTGAACACCTTTACTTTAGCAGTACAGTGTACATCACTCTAATAGTCACTGGGTTGAATTGTATCATTCTGTGTTTTCAGGGACATTTGAGCGTCCATCATTTTCAGAAGGCACGAAGAGGAGCGTGTACCACGTCCGGTCATGTGACGTATTCAGACTCAAACAGGTACATGTCACACAGCGGCCATCACCTCTTGAACAGGGTTCAAAGAATGACCTGTTTATTTCGATGGACATGAGGACGTTGACGTGAATTACTATTCATTTCTCCACAAAAAACGTTCCCTCAGATCTCGGGACATGTAGATATTGGTCTGTCACATGACTGGCCACTGGGGATATATCACCATGGTAACAAGGCCCAGCTTTTGCGGAAGAAGCCATATTTTGCAGAAGAGGTATGTGCATATGATACATTATATCTCTCGTTAGACAATAAAAACCTCAAAATTTGTTGGGAGGGCAGTGTAATTTACCCTCTGTGCGCATGCGCAGCGAGGGTACAGTAGTTGGGGTCTGTCTGTCTGTCTGTCCTTCTGTGTGTCTGTTACTCAACATCTCACTTCTCCAATGTTCGTTCGTCTCACAAACGATACTACTTACCCAACAGCCAATGAAGGTCAGAAAGTTTGTGCAGTTTTCTCAGAAACTGCTCCTTGCAAAGCTAGAGCGCGAAAAAGCCAATATGCAAATACACAACGAACGGGATGGCTTACCACAGTCTGATCGATCCGCGTGCCACCTCGGAGGCACCAGAAGATGCAACGCAGTGTGTGTATCGCCTCTCGCATGCTATCTAGTAGTGTAGTTAGTCCGCGTCAGACTCTGCGCGAGCTGGCAAGAGACCACGGCTAAAACTAAACCCAGCCCATCAATTAGTGGTCGTACGGCGCATGTGTTTGCTTACGGGTGCGCGTCATGTCGCAATGCGCGATGTAATAGGAGTGTTGGCTGTTGGGGTATAACTGGAACGTTTTTTCATCAGTGGAAGATAGAGATGAGTGGGGGTCTGATGGATAAGCACCCCGTCTCTTGATCTTGAGGTTCTGGTTCGATCCCGGGGTGTTCGCCTTTTTTTCAATGATGTAATGTATAGGAGTGTTGTTGGCTGTTGGTATAAGTGGAACGTTTTTTCGTCACCTCTCAAGGCCAGCCCGAGTGTCAGGTGGTCCAGAGCATTGGCTGGGAACAGCTCTGGTTCCTCCCCTGACCCACGTTTATCAAAGGGCAGCGTATAGTTCGGCATTGCACTGCGTCCGTAGACGTCTGTCTGGAGAGATGAAGGGCTGGGCGTTTTAATTTTTTTTTTCAACCTTAGGTTTTTTTTTGCACTAAACAATCCGCAGGTAATACGAAAATTAATAGAGAGATGAAAGGTTGGCAATTTTTCAACCTTATATATTTTTTGGGCCTCAAATAGAGCTATTGACCATGGAAATGGTGCTGTTCTTTTTGATGCATGGTCAAGACCATCAATTGTGGTGGTGCCACACTTGTGTATGGGTTCCACATTTCTATATAGTGTGCCGAGGGTTTGCACTTTAGTGCTTTTCATTTGTGACTAGTTTTCGTGTGCTGAACTAACAACTTTCATGACAAAAAGATTATGAGGTCTTCCCTGGTCCCCTCAGATGGAGGCGGAGTCTCTGGGCAGTCCAGCTGCCATGGAGCTGCTCCAACACCTCTCCCCCGACTACTGGTTCTCCGCCCACCTCCACGTCAAGTTTGCCGCCGTCTATCACCATGACGACGGCGACGAGAGTGGAGTGAGGATCACCAAGTTCCTGGCACTAGACAAGTGTCTCCCTGGACGCAGATATCTGCAGGTGCCATTTCTGACATAACACATTGTGAAAGTACGTCTAGGTTTGTGTACTTGTACCTTGTACCTTGTGGTCGACATGTGGTTATGCTCCATTCTGCGGCATTTGCTCCATAATATTCAGTAGTTTGTAGTGGATCTTACCTTTTGCAGCCTTCTGCTGTGTTTTCTTAGTTTGCTATGTACATATATAATGGAGTTCTTTACCTCTTCGTGTATCACAGCTTTTTTCTGCCTCTCTCTTTCCCCATCTCTGACTGTATGGTGCAGGTGTTGGACATCGACACCCCCTCACCCCCGCCCTACAAACTCTGCTACGATGCTGAATGGCTGGCCATTCTCCGCAGCACCGAACACCTCATGAGCTACTCTCGGTTGCTATGGTTACCACCTCACCCCTCCACCGATAGCAGGTGCATTTTTGTCATCTTTCGAGAGATGAGAGAGAGAGAGCTCTGTTCATACAGGCTGTCCTACACGCCTACCTCAGAGGAAGTTGATGAAGTGAAGACGTTATTCCATGGCAACCTCGTTATTCCAGACAACTTTACTTCTCAACAACACAGTGTGTTTTTACTCACCTTTGACCCACATGATTTTGACTCCGCCCCCCCTCTCTCCCGGCAGACTCTAGTCTCCCAGAGAACAGACAGACGGCTGTCTTCTGTGCCACTCTGGGGATCAGCAATCCCTTCTCTACCAGTGAGATAGCAGCAGGGCACCTCACCTCCAAACAGTTTCTATTGTGGAACCTCTTAAAATGGACTCTAAAGGGCGCTTGGTTCTGCCCCACTCTAATACATTAGTGCATTGTACACCTCTGAAAAGGGACTCTAAAGGGCGCTTGGTTCTGCCCCGCTTGGTTCTGCCCCGCTTGGTTCTGCCCCACTTGGTTCTGCCCCACTTGGTTCTGCCCCACTCTAATACATTAGTGCATTATACACCTCTGAATAAAGTGTCCCTTATTCACTGCATGGACTTAATTTTCATTTCGTCCAGATTTCAGCTCCACACGTATGTCTCTCGGTTCCCCTGGCAACAGTCTCTGTGGTAACATCTCTTCGGCGGAAGTCTCGCTGAATCCTGATGAAATTGACCTCGGAGACGACTCGGACGAGAACGAGGAGGAGGAGCCAGGTCGCCATGGCGATACCTCAGAACTGACGAAGGAGATCTCGGCTGCGCCCAACACTAGTACACCTGACAGAAAACGTTACCCTGGCTTGATGAAAACTCACCAGGCGAAAAGCAAAACCAGTTTAGTCCCGGTCAAACGAGTTCACCAGCTGTCGTCATGGACAACGAACAGAACCAAGTGCAGATAACTGATCTAAACAGAGAGCTACAAGACAGTGAATCATCTTGTGTTGCTGGAGGCGAGGAGGCGCGTCCCAATGTGGTTCCAGATCCTGACAGAAACCCTGACGAGATTTCTCTGGACGAGGGGGAGCCGGAGAAAGGGGTTAAAGAGGGGGCAAAGGTCAATCTGGAGGAGGAAGGGGTTAAATGTGTCAAGCCAGCTGTGGTAATCAGGAGAAGGAATATGGCAATTTATCAAACTGAGCAAGATAATTAACTGATGACATCATCAACACAATCACGTTCCTTCGCATGTAGCTGCACGGAATTTTCCTTGTGTTTTATCCAATGTTATCATAATGAGATGTGATGCCCCTGATGTAACTGCACAAAGTGATGATGATAAAAATGGAGCATCAATAATGCTAACACATGCTGCATTAGTACATTATCAAATGGTTAGGCTGCAAAATACGTACATAGACATATACACACAAGCGAGAAACAGCTTTTGTAAAAACTCGGGTCTTTGACGCATGCAAGGTCCCTAAACAGCCATGTGTGGTAGTGGCAGAGCTGGACGGTCAGAGCCTGTCGATCTTAGCAGCCACTATCTTTGGGTGGTGTTTCTCTAGCTCTTCGCGTCCGGACGTCTTGTAGTCAAAGGTGCACATGTGAGTGTCGGCATAGCGATGAAGAGGACAAAACTGGTGGCCACATCTACAAGCAAATCCTGGGAGAGAGGAAATGACGGACGATGAATTAAGTCCACTGCTTTCACTATCTATCCAGACACGAATAGGACAAAAGAATTTAGTGGTGTGTCCTTTTTTCAGGGTTAAATTGCATGCAAGAACTGTTCTAGGGGAAAGACAAGGTGTCCTCATTTCGTTAGAGAGGTTGTATTCTACCCCACTTGTGTGTGCTTTTCAACAGACCTGTTAGTCCAACTTTCTTCTTGCACGTGTAGCAACGATTTTTCTTTGGTGTTGTTTTGGTTGAGGTGAGAGGGGAGGGGGAGAGGGAGAGGGAGAGGGAGGTAGCAGCAGATGAGGTTGAGGAGGCAGGGAGAGAGGATAATGGAGTGGCAGTTAGTTCACCTGCAGGGCGTAGGAAAGAGGGGGAGGGTAGGAAATGGGTGCTGAGCCAGTGCTATTGTCTGTGCCAGGTAGTACCAGGCTACACCAACCACATCAACTGTGCCTACTGCCACTCTACACAGCTGGTATATATATATATATACACACCCTCCCTCCCTCCCCCCCTCTTTTCCTCTTTCACACACTCCTACACACACCACACACTTTCTCTATCCACCTCTCTCTATGATAGAAGCTCAGGAAGCTTCACCATTATTTGCACACAGGAAATAAACTCAGGATATTGCCCTAATAACTGGGACTCTCGTCCTGTAGCTTCTCAATAATGTCACATGCTGCACTGATGATGCAGTAAAGCCGGCCACACCTGACTGACATGTGCAATGACAGGTCAGCAGGTCCGTGAACCAATGAAATAAACCTTTAACTTAGCAAAAACTCGGGAAGTCTAAACGTATACCCTAACATAGTGAAATGGAAGGTAGAACATGTTTTCAGTGTCCAGGGGAAAATAGGTTGGTTTACTGGCAGGTTTCAGTCTCCCTGACCACATGATATAGGAGTAGTGCCCGTGGCTAAGCTGCCAGTGGGCGTGTGTGCGTGGCAAAATCAAGCACGTTTGCCAAACATCAGCACAGTGGCGTGAGCACACACACACACAACACACACAGATTCACCAGAGGGTTAACCAATCAGGGAAACAGGCTGGCCGCCCCCAAAACATGTTTTGTCCATTCCAGTTTACAGGGTAGGCTCTAACCTAAACATTTCTCTAACAGCAAGTCCGACAGTAAAGCCAACCACACACACATGTTGGGCCTAAACATGTCAACGTGCTGTATGCATAGAGCTGTAAGCAACAATATACTGAAGTGCTATCACATGACGCTTTTGGAAAGGACCAATTAACCACCAAAGGCTGTCCCTCACCCCTTCTTTCTCTCCCCCCCCCCTTTTCCCTCTACTTCTCTTTACTTTGGCCAAGTCTAGAAGAAGCTGTGGTGGTGGTCGCTGTCATGGAGTCGCTAAGTGACGGGCGGACGCGGGCCGAGGAGCCGGCGGAGCTGGTAGCGGGACCCTCTCTCTCGCTCTTCCCCTCCTCGCTGTCTCTGTGGCACTTGGAACACATGCCGTCAGTGGCCGGGTTCCCGAAGAATCCGCAGCCGCTACGACACAGCGTTGGGTGACTGGAAGAGGTAGGTATGGGCCGTTGATCCATCGCCTGTACTATATATACGGTGTGAACGGTAGTCAGAGTCTCTGTTTCAATAGCGGTGAACGCTGAACCAATAGCGGACGATTCAAAACGAACGCTGGGTATTCGACTAGGCCAGACGTATCTTATACGCGACTAAAGGCCGGTTTCCGACACAGCCGTCTTCTTCTACACCGAGTTTTGGTGATCGGCCGGGTGGTTTCTGGAACAGTTGCCGCTGAGGTATGTACACAATGATACGACGTCAATGACGCTTCCGGGTGGTTACTATAAATAGCAACAATTTCCGTAAGCGGTAATAATTGTTCAACTGTGCGCGCGCCGATGTCGTATCGTGGCAACCAAACATTGTGAGCCGGCCTCGCGCTGTTCGCATGTATGAAAAGTGAACGTGGCTTTTTCAGAAGACGACGAATGTGATGCTGAGCAAAGTAAGGCATTTGTTTTTGTTAACAGCTGTAGCCTGCAGCAACATGTTTTTCGTGTCTTCCTTATTTCCTTGTCTCTTCAGAGAGGCAGAGAGGTAGTCAGCCTCGCGCCTGGGCTCACGGCCGCAGCTCTACAAGACCACCTCATCCGTCAACTCTCTCTCTCCAACCCTCTCCCTCCTCACAAGACACACACTCCCAGTAGAAAATCTGCTCAACACACGTCCAGTTGGAAGTCTGGGGGAAAGAAGAGAAACACAAAAACTGATTCTGTCTTGCGAGATAGAGAGGATGAGAATGAGCGTTTGTTAGACCCAACCCCCCAGCCCCTATCGTTAGCAGAGAAGTTGGGTCTCGTTCCGGGACCACGCCCCCAGCTCTCCACCAGTGAGTGGGAGACTGCCAAGTGTTCCTCAAGAGAGAGACGAGACTCCTCCCAGCCCTGCCCAATTTGCCACGAGGAGTTTGGAACAAGGCAACAGGTCAGAACTCCATGTGAGTGGTCCATTTAGTGAAACCTCTGAATAAGGAGCCCCTTTGGAACATTGAAAGTGTCCTTTATTCAAAAACGTCCCTTATTCAGAGGTAAAATTATACACTGAAAGCAGTTGTATTTTGAGGTCCTCCCGAGGTTCCACTGTATCTGTGCTACCATGCACAGAGTATATTATGGGGCTGCCTTTTTGTTGTGAGCCCCGCCTGCTGGTGGATTAGAGGGTGGAGTGCTCTGACCAGAGAGCACTGTGTCTGTGTTGTACTCTGTAGATTTGAGTCCCACCCAAGGCAGCTCTTTTCTTTGTTCTTCTTGAGTCAGACACGGTTTGCACTTTCCTTGTGTTTACACTCTATCAATTTCATACATGTCTCAACAACTTGGTAGCGAGGTAGAAAGGCAAGGCAAGGCAAACAAGTCAACTACACCCAGGACAGCTCTTTAAAAGAAGAAGAGTTGCCCTGGGTGGGATTCGAACCCCACGACACATGTGAAGGAATGTGGACATGTGGGCCACATTGCACCATGTACCACACCAGCTCAACCTTCTCAGATGACAGAGAGCTGAACTGAGGCACACAACAGACAACATAGAGCCTGGTGCTGTATCCTATAGAACTAAAGAAACCCACAGAGATCAAAAGAGGGAAGCAGAGCCATGCTGGGCTAGTCTGAGGCCCCATCAAAAGACCACACCCCCCACCACCACCCACCCCCCCAAACACACCCCCCCCACCACCCACCCCCCCAAAACCACACCCACAAACCCCACCCCACCCCCCCCACCCACCAAACCCCCACCACCCACCCCCAAACACCCACCCCCCCCACCCACCACCCCCCCACCCACACACCACCCACCCCACACCACACCCCAACAACCACCACAAACAAAACCCCCACCCACCCCCACCAAAAAAAAAAACCCCCCCCACACCCACCCACACCCCCCCCCCCCACCCACCACAAACCCACCAACACACCACCCCCCCACCCCCCCCCCCCCCACCTAATGGCTACCCACTCTGTAAGGGTGGACAAAGCCATGGCCTGCGCTTCTCTCTCGTTGTGTGTCGTTAAAAACAGGTTTGTCATCATTTAAACACACCTTGCAATGCAAGCCAACATATCCTGACAGACATCAGCGGCCTTGTCAGTTTGAAAAAAAACAAAAGTAAAGAAGATGCCGCTTATTTTTATAACAAAAAGGTTTAACGAATGCAGCAGTCAGGCTAGCATGAGTAGTAGCAGCTAAAATACTCTAAAAACTTACAATTTCTTGTTGCAATAGTTATTATTTGCTCTTGATTCTCTCCCTCTCTGCCACAGGTAATCTCTCTGCACATCTCACGTCTTCCAACACCACACCTGTCTCCGATCACTTCAAAGAAGGTTTCCCGAAGACAAAAAAAACCAAAAAAAAAAAAGAACAGACACACTCTGTCGCCCACATACAACTATCAACACGACTCATCCAGATGGGGAGTAACCACCATCCCGAGTCAAGCCCAGCCATCAAGTGGGATTGCCATTATACACATAATCTCTCACCCAAAGAGTATATCTTCATATCTCTCAGCCGTCCCCAGATTCGTGTTGCGTGGAGAGGGGGCTGGGATGAATGGTACAGGAAGGCGATTGAGAGGGTCACCCCCCCCCACTCCTTCACGACCCCACACACCGCCCTGCGCTCCAGGTTCTACCACAGGAGACTTGCTTCACTCACTTCTAGGATGGTACGCCTTCCCTATAACTCCCTCTTTTCTTCATAACATCTATTTACAATCAACGTATTGCATACTACATGTATACACATACTGCATGTATGTATGTAAACACACCGCAAGCATCGTTGCTTTAAAAACTGTGAATGCAATCCCGTACCACAAATTCAGCCCGTAATCCCTCGAAAAACTGTTTTTCTCTACGAAATGCAATGTTATGTACTACAGGATGGACAGTCTTGTGCCCAGAGTAGCTCATGCTGCACGGGATTGTTGGCTGCGGCCTATTCAGCTCTGCCACCACCATAGCCGCCATGAGGTGGGGACCGGGAGAGGAATAAATTCGTTTCCCTTATTCAGATTTTAACTTCTCACACAAAGACATTGGACTGCATCAGCTCTCTCACTCCATTGCCCACTTCCTCTACCCAATATATAAAAGCCACAAGAAACTTCCGACACACCCACACAGAATGATACATCTGCCCAATTGTCCTCTCCTCCCTCCCAAGCACGCCCACCTGGCCACGCCCACAGAGATCGTCGTCGTCCGATAAGCCTCCTGTCGTGTCACATGCTCCACCAGACTTGTGTCTCTTCTCTGGAGAGGTTCGCACTACTGATGGAAGAGCTCTCCTCTTGCCCACTTCTGTACGAGCTCCCTATCTCAGACAAACTCTAAATTGTCCTGACTACAGTAGCCGACAAAATTGGTAGTTTTTTGCCACGACCGAACAAATTTGCGATTATTTTAGGACAATCCAGAGGAAGTGGGCGGAGTAGTTATTGCGTCGCGCGAAGTTGGTGGTGCAGTGTGGAAGCGTGTTTGCCCGTCGTAGTAGTGTAGAAGAAGTATGCCCGGCCTGTTTGTGAGGCTCTACTGATCCTAGGGGCGCTCCGTGCGAGAGTCTGTCTGCGTCTCAACAAGAAGCGTTACCAGCAGTGGCGGTTGTGAGGCTACCCACCTGCAGGGAGATCACGTGACCCAGGGACAGCGGCAGTACGGCTCGCGGAGGAAACGCAGCGGCTTGGAATACGTGGGTCGGTGGATGTTGGGCCTTGCGACCCGACCTGTTCGAAGCTGCGACTGTCCCGTAAAACGGTGGGAGTCTCGCAGTGTGGACCATGGGATCGGGCAATGGACGACCCGTCTGTTGAGGACGCCGTTCATGCGGAGTTATCGGGTCATCCAGCAGTGGAATGGGCCAGTAAGCATAAGTCCCTCTCAAACGAATGAAGAGAGAATTCAAGATCAGCTTTTCCTCGTAAGTGGCACTTGGTATTATCCGTTAACCCTCTCCAACACTCAGGCAGATTTAACCCTTTGTCCCACAGGTTAATCGACTTGAAGAAGGGTCACGATACGAACGTGTCTGGAGTGTGGAGGAAGGAGTTAACGGAGCCGGGGTGACGTAGCTGTTGTTGACGATGGTAAATCTCTATCTTTTACGCATGTTAGTTACCATGACAACTCCCATAGGTGTGGAATGGCGTAATCCTGACCTGAGAAACAATTACGTAAGTTACCTTTCTCTCTCCTTTAATTATAATCTCAAATTGGTTTTCATGTATATACACTCAGAATGCTGATGGTAGTCATGACTACAATGATAACGACAAAGATCCGTCTCCAAACCTAAAAGCCAAATACGACAATTCCCCACGGAACAAAGTAAGCCCAGCCAATCCTCGGATTGCGCAGCCCATCCGTTAAATGGGTCACGCGTTGTACAGATGTGCAGGACTGATAGCTGCTGGAGCTAACGACATTTGTGTGTGGGTGTGGCTTACGGAGCCAAGGTTGCCGGTATCGAATGCTGGACGGCATGGTAACGGACCTGCTGGAGGGAAAGTCTTTCATCTTCAAAGCTCACGTCAACTGGATTTACAGCTGCAGGTGGTCAATGTCCTAATTAGTGGGTGTCTCCAATACTTTGATTTCCACATTAGCTGGGGTCCCGAGGATGACGGGAAAACAGTGGAAGGTCCAGGCTACGTTTGCCAAGGTAATGACTCCACGTGTGATGATGCTCTGTTACCGTGGTGATGTTTCTCCGCAGGAAGCCATGGAACTGGCAATATAAAAAAGGGTCGCTATGGCTACGGAAACGTGTTTGTGTTTGCCTCTGGTACGGAGGGATAAACGCGACAGACATGTACTGTGATGGATAGCAAATTCAATCTTCACAATCACCATCGGTAACACTCCTGCAGCATACTAGCTACACATTACTACATACCACTGAGATCCTCAAATAAAGCACACTCGCTGCTTCGTGTTACGTCCGAATAGAAATGAAGGACTTTTGATGTGTGGCACAGGTGTCCTTATTTAGAGTGTTTACTAACAGGTGTTTCTCTTCCTCCCACATACAGGAGCTGTTGATGAGCTGATCCATGCGTACTATGCCCGAGCTGGGCTCTGCCATGCTTGCCGTCACCTATAGCACGGCCACACCAAGGAGACAGAATGTGACAGAATGGTGGTAGGTTTCTTCATCTTCACTGTATACGTGCAGCATGGTGGGTGGTGGTCAGAGTTTGTTTAACTGTATACGTAGCACGGGGGTGTGGTCAGAGGTTTAACTGTAGACGTACAGGTGGGTGTGGTCAGAGGTTAACTGTCATACGTACACGTGGGTGTGGTCAGAGGTTTAACGTGTATACGTACACGTGGTGTGGTCAGAGGTTTAACTGTGATACGTTAGACAGGTGGGTGTGGTCAGAGTTTAACTGTATTACGTGACAGTGGATACTCTCTGAATATAAGGGACACCTTGGGATATTTATTACCTCGTCCCTTCTTCAGCACAGAGCAACAAACAGGGTCCTTTTATAGAGAGGTGTTCCTTGTCCAGAGGGTCCTTGGAGAATAAATGGAGCCTCTCTGCCATCTCCCCCTCTACTTCCTACTCGTATCATAAGTAACAAGACCACAAATGTATACCTGTTAAGACCCACCCCCAGCAGTCAACAAGCGGGGCACATACACTTTTCCGGGAAACCTCGGCATCTGCTCCAATCGCCTCGGGGAGGCCGCAGAGAGGTAAAAGATGACAAGAAGGAGCGGGAGGAGGGGTGGAGAGTGTATCCAAGCTGTACCACCTACTACAATTATCTCTTTAATATCCTCCTAATCGTTCTCATACAACACAAAAAAAAAAAAAAAAAAAAAATCCTCCTGCATATCCTCCATCCTACCTCATTTTCTCTCTTCCCATTCCCACAGTCCCACCGCAACCTTTCCATCGCTCTCCAGGGAAAAAACACTCTAATTTCGAAAGCACCTCTAGTGTCAAGCTCTCCCCTCCCCTCATACCCTTTCCACCCCCCTACCCTCTCCCTTCACCATTCCTATCTTTCCCACTTATCACTCTTCTCAAAACCCACTTTACACACGCCACTGCACTCCACCAAACGAAACCAAAAAGAAAAAAAAAAAAAAACAAAAAATCTTTCCACTTCCTAGCCAAATAAAATGCTCCTCCCCCAACCAACTCTTCTGAACCACGCGGCCCGACCCTCGCACCCGTCTCTCGCATTCTTGCTTTCCGCTCTCTACCTTTATATACCCTCCCTTTCCACCTTTATTAACCAATCATCGTCCCTTTCCGTAAGTGACCCCCAAACAACTCAGTGATCCGAGACTAAAAAAAAGAATAACAACAATTACATATAAACCCTCCTCTCGCCGATTCCTCTTATGCACACCAGATCATTGTTTTCATTCACGAGCCCCATTATCTCCCCTCTCGGTGCCTTGACTTACCATCCCAGCCTTTCCTCAAAGTCCCTACTAGCCAAAAAAAAAAAAAAACAAACTTTCGTTATTTCCACCAATCGCACGAATGCAACTTCCTGCCCCTTTTTCGAACAGTCTCCTACTTCACTTACCCTCCATTCCTTCATTATCGAACAAAACCCTCCACCCCACCCCCTCAACACTTTTTCACCATACGAACCTTCCTTTAACATAAACCGACGCTGATGAAAACTCCCAAGCCTTTAATCACCTTTCCCTTCTTCCTTGACAAACCACCATCTGCCTCACTTTTTTCCCGCTCTTCTTGATATCACCTTACATTAGCAAAAACAACCGCAAAAAAAAACACGCTCCCCCCTTTATCCCAACCTCCACTGCTTCTCTTAATCCTAATCCATTACCGCCATCTGTCTTTTACTTCCATCCCTGCACAGCTGACCCACAACCAAATAGAGCAAAAACATAGGGGGGGAGGAGAGGACCATGAGAGAAGACGAGAGAGAGCACCACCCCCCGCACGGAGAGCCGACGAACGGCCGTGACCCCTAACACGCACACGTGAATGTTCTGTGGTCTAGAAAAGTGTGGTTTGGGGAGCCAACGGGACCACCAAAATAAACAAAACCTGGAACTGTGTTCACCGTGTTTTTGGTGCCTTCTACAGTTTAGGTATAACCGTTCTTGGTCTTTGTCGACAGAAACTGTCTTTCATGGAGAGACGTGCCAAACAATCATGTCACTACACAGCTGTCATGGTGGATTGCTGCCACGCCCAGTGGCGGAGATGCCGCCGGGTTTCACCCAATGAACCAGCACGGCTTCGGGCACTACTAGAACGCTTACAGAATGACCCCCCCGCCTCGTTGCCGGGGTGAGGGTAACAAAAAATCTGTCCATTTTATATTCTTTGTGAACCTCACACATCTGAGCCGTCTCTATAAAAAAGGAGCTCTTAGGACTTTTGATGTTCCTTTGTTTTCCTTTATCAGAGATTTCCCAATGCTCCTTTATTCACATCTCTTGTTCTTTCTTTCTCTCTCTCGCTCAGATGTGGCAAATTGTCGCCCCACCTCACAGCCCCGCTCAATGAGCCAGCTTACACCACCCACAACACACATGAAAAACCCTCACATCCACTAAAAATCGCCACCGGAACCAGTCACACTCGCCAGAAATGGTGAGCAGAAACTTAGCTTGGTTAAAGGGATTTATGGTGTTCGTTCCTGGTGGTTGAATGTGACAGAGATGAGTGGCCAGTGAACTTCGACCCGTGAACTGTGACTGTCACAGTAAAGATTAAAACCAATTGACGACGGAATAGGGGGGAGCGGAAGAGGAAAAGTGAATAAGGAGGGAACCGCGCGAAGAAGGGCAAAAGGGGAAAAAAGAGAGACGAAAAGAAAAAAGAGAGAGAAAGAAGAACAAAACAGAAAAAGTACAAAAAAACAAAATTATAACAAAAAAAAAAAAAAAAAAAGCAAAGCAAAAAACAACAATTACAAATAAAATAAAAAGAAAAATATTTAAAAAAATTCATAAATAACACAAAAAAATAATTAAAAAAACAAAATAAAAATATAAAAAAAGAAACACCAATTAAAAAAAAAACTAGAAGAGAAAAGAAAAAGAAAAGGAGACAAAAAAAAAAAAAAAAAAAAAAAAAAAAAAAAAAAAAACAAAAGAAAAGAAAAAAAAAAATAGAAAAAGAATAAAAAGAAGAAAAAAAAAAAAGAAAAAAAGAAAGAAGAAAAAAAAAAGGAGAAATAAGGAAGAAAACAAAAAAACGAAAAAGAAGGAAAAAAAGGAAAAAAAAGAAAAAAAATAAAAAAAAAGAAGAAAATAAAAAATGAAAAAAGGGAAAAAAAAAAAAAAAAAAAAAACTAAAATAAAGAACAAGAAAAAAAAAAAAAAAAAAAATAAAAATAACGAAAATAAAACAAGAAGAAAAAAAAAAAAGAGAAAAAAGAAAAGATAGGAAAAAAGAAAAAGGACACAAAAAAAAAAAAAAAAAAAAATAAAAATAAAGGAAAAAAATTAGAATAAGAAAAAAAAAAAATAATGAATGAAAAGAAAAAAACAAAAAAAACATAACAAATAACATAAAAAAAATATAGCTTAAAAATATAACACCATCAAAAAAAAAACAACAAATAATATCAAATACAATAAAATTAAACACAATACATATATAAAAAAAAATTGACACCCTCCGCTCCCAAATAATATGAACATAAGCCAACGAGTACCAACACCCCAGGGCGTTTCAAACAACCCTCTTTTTTGATTACACTTCTATAACGTGGGAAAAACACACCAAGACATCACTGTCATACAACCGGTTTAAAACGCAACACTGATAAACCGAGGTCACATCCTTCCTTAAGCTCTTTTCGCCCCTCCCATATTCACGCGCAGCTCCAACACACCTGCTCCCCCCCCATGCCTTTTGTGTTCCCGTCGTCCCACACTCATTCCTTTCTCCTTAGCTCTCTACTGCGCTCATTTCATCTTGCCCCTTCCATACCCTGTTGACATTACCATAACCATAGTCCTATTCAGTACCCTCGCCCCATTAAGACCTCCGCGTCCTTCCTCTTAAAGCGCAGCATTTCTCCTGAAGTCGAGCGCCAGGTTTTAGCCAAGGCCTTGCCCCGCGACAAAAATTCTGTAATCTCGTGTGTACTTCGTGCGGCTACCTTGCTCCATTGCTCATCGTTGGGTGCTATATGTAAAGCTCCTCGCAATCCTAGCGCAACAAGACGATCATGGAGGAGGGAAAAGACAGATAAAAGAAAGGAAAAGAGATAAAAAAAAAAAAAAAAAAAAAAGAAACAAGAAAAAAAAAAAAAAGAAGAAAAAAGTGAAAAAAGAAAAAGAATAAAAAAAAAAACAAACAAAAAATAAAAAAAAAAAGAAAAAAAAACGAAAAAAACAAAACAAAAAAAAAAAAAAAAAACAAAAAAAAAAAAAAAAGAAAAACAAAAAAAAAAAAAAGAAAAAAAAAGAAAACAGAAATCAAAAAAAAAATAAAACACAAAAACAAAAGAACAAAACAAAAAAAAAAAACAACAACCCACCACAAACAAATAACCCCCCCACAACCACACCACCCACCCAACCCCCCCCACCCACACCCCAACACCCCCACCAAACCACCCCCAACCCCTACCCCACCCCCCCCCCTCTTTCTCGTTTGTCATGTCTATGTCATTCGTATCGCG